CTTCCATGTTGTCTGACTGGTAGTTTAGATATGCTCATGTGTTGAAAACCTGGTCCCCAAGCATCAGTGTTCAGAGTTGGGGCTTCTGGGAAGTGAATGTATCATGAGGGCTCTGACCTCTTCAATGGATTGGTCCATTGATGGATTTACAACTGGTGGCATAGTACAAACTGCCTATCAGGAAATGGACAGCATGATGAGGAAAGAAATTACAAAGAGGTGGTAGACAGATGTACATGTGTACATGCTATACACATAATATATGCACACACACATAGGCACAAACTAGCCAGTAAGGGTGAGCCCTTTTTAATGAACTCTACATCTCAATACAAGACCTGAAACAAATTAGAAAGGACTGGATAGAAGCTTCAGTGTTCACAAGAACCACCAATTTACAACTGTTCTTTTTATTGCATTTGTTCATGCTTTTTGAGACAGGGTCTCATGTAGCCCAAGCTGGCCTCAAACTTGCTAGAAGCCAAAGATAACCTTAAACAGCTGATCCTCCTGCCTCCACCTCCATAGTGGTGGGATCACTGTCATGGGCCACCATGCCCAGCTTTCTTTTTATTGTTATAAAGGAGAAGCTTACTGAAAATGCAGATTCTCAGTTGGGTGTGGTGTGCAAATCTGTAATCCAAGCACTCAAAAGACTGAAGCAAGAGGATGCAGACTTCCAGACCAATCTGGTCTACAAAGACCCTGCCTCAAAACCTGCAAATTGTCAAGCAAGCCCTCACATCTGTGCACATACACTCTAACACTGTAGACCTAGGATGGGGCATGATAGCTGAATGATGAATTTACAAGCCCTCCCTATGCTTCTGATGCAGGAGACCTTCAATCCCAAAATGAGAACCCTTCATCTGACATAGGGCAGACCCCATATCAGCCTTTACAAAAAGGTGAATCAGTAATTCTGTGTAATAATGTAATGTTAAAACACACACTGACATTCTAATGCATGGCAGGCCGCAAGTGTCTGTGCAACATGGGGGAGGCGGACACTGAAGGTCCACAAGTTTAAGACCAGCCTGAGATACACAGCATGACCCTGTCTCAAAAAATAAAACAAGGGCCAGGGAAATGGCTCAGCAAGCAAGTCAATGCACTTGCCACCAAGCCTACCAACCAGAGTCTGATCCTCAGAATTCATATGGTAGGACACAATCGACTACCACAAACTGTCCTCACATGTGAGCATGCATGCACACATGCACGCGCACACACACACACACCACAAAATAATGCAAAACCCTGAGAAGTTAAAAAAAAAAAAAATAGGAAAAGCGGCCTATTCTGGTTTGGGTTTTGTTGCTGTGATAAAAGACTCTGACCAGAACCAAGTTGAAAAGGAAAGGGTTTATTTGGCCTACACCTCCATGTCATAATCCATCATCAAGGGGAGTCAGGGGCAGGAACTCAAGGCAGAAACCTAGAGGCAGGAACTGAAGCAGAGACCATGGAGAAACGTTGCTTACTGGTTTGTTCCCCCTGGCTTGCTACTTTTCTTATACAGCCCAGGCCCACCTGCCCAGGGATGGCACTGCCCACATGAGCTGGGCCTCCCTACATCACTTAGCAATCAAGAAATGCCTCCACAGACATGCTTACAGGCCAAGCTGATGGAAGATATTCCTCAACTAAGGTTCCCGCTTCCCAAATATGTCAGGTTGACAAACACTAACCAGCAGACAGCCATTCTGTCCACAAAGCTCACAAGCAAGACACCACAGACATTGGAGCACTTGACTACAGGAAAATGGAACACACACTTTCAGGATGCCAGTTCTTTTCTGAGCACCTAGGCTGCTGGCAGAGGATTAGGCACTGCACAGAGAAAAGAAACTGCTAGGCTCAGCTATGGGGTGAGACTCAAACATCACCAAATAACTCATACACATAGGTGTTCAGGATGAGAAGGGGACATAGGTGCTGAGTCAGAGCATCCCTGGGTACTGGGGGTCAGCACAAGAGGTAAGAACAGAACATCTCAGTTCTCAAGCGCTGGAGATTACATCAGATTATCAACATAGCCACATCTCTGTGGACTCAGGGCTGGCATTATGGTGACAGAAGACAGATAAAAACTAAATAAAATAGCATAATGCATAGCTTGCAAGGTGCTAAGCATTGTGGAAGAAAATCTAGCAAAGAAGGAAGAGGGGAGTATCACAGCAACCTTCACCACTTTTTTCTGGTCTTTCTGAGACAGGGTCTCCCTGTAGCCCCAGTTGGCCTGGAACTCACTATGTAGGCCAGGCTGGCCTTAAACTCACAGAGATCTACCCACTTCTGCTGGGATTAAAAGTGTGTGCCACCTTGCCAAGCCTGCAATCTTCACCACATTTTTTTTTAAATGTGTATGAGTGTATTGCCTGCATGTATATGAGTGCACCCGTGTCGCGCAATGCTGCGGAGGTCAGAAGAGGGCTTCAGATTCTGCTGGAACTGGAGTTAAGGACGGTTCATAGCCACCATGTGGGTATTGGGAATCGAACCCGGGTCCTCTGCAAGAGCAGTCAGTGTTCTCAACCACTGAGCCATCTCTCCAGCTCCAATCTTCACCACTTTTAAAGAACCACACAGCTCAGGAGCTGGAGAGATGGCTTAGCAGTTAAGGGCACTGACTGATCTTGAGGAAGATCCAGGTTGGATTCCCAGAAGCCACGTGGTGGCTAACAACCATCCATAACCCCAGTTCCAGGGGAATTCAACACTCTCTTCTGACCTCTGCAGACATTGCATGACATAAGTGCACTTACATACATGCAGACAATTCACTCATACACATAAAAATAATAAATATTTTCAAAAAGAACCCCACAGCTCTAAGAAATGTGGTTCTCTACAAAACCACATTTACACTACAAAAGGGAAGAGAGGTCAGATGAAGAATAGCCAGCCCTGTGAGGCAGGCAGGGGTCAGAGAGTGGGGGACCTGGACACTGCCCATCAGGGCAAGTGCTGAGCAAGTATGTCCTCTGGCCTCTGCCTGTGCTGCAGGGCATGAATCAGTCTTGACTGACATCACAGAGTAGTTCCAGCAGGGACTGGATGCCTGTGAGTCTCAGCTCTGCCAAAATGCTTGTGACCATCCAATGTTATAAACATGGGCAATTTGTTTACCTTTCTTGGGCCACAAATGTCACTGATACAATTTGGGTTTTTTTTTTTTAAAAACCATTAAAGGAACATGTGGCCACAATAAAATATATGAAAAAAATATCAGAAAACATTTTTTAAAATCCCTATTATTTCCATCCCTAATGCCACCTCTGTTCACATCTTGGTGGTTTATTTCTGGTTTTTGCCACAGTTGTTTAATATAGCTGCAATAGTCCCTATATACTTCCTTAGCTTGCTCTTGTTACTGTCATGACACATGCGTGTTTACCACATACATCATTTTTATTACATTTCATTTATTTATTGTGTGCGTGTCTGTGGGTGTATACATGCCACTGTGTGTGTGTGTGGAGATCAGAGGACAACTTGCAGGAGTTGGTTCTCTCCTCATACCATGTGGGCCCATTGATCAAACTCAGGTTTTAGGCTTGAAGGCAGACCTGTTTACCCACTAAGTCATCTAACAGCCCTACATACATAAGTTTTATTGTAACATATGTACTTTCTGCTTAAAGCAAATTCTGAATGAATGTTGTTCTTTGCTGTTTTGCTTTGCTTGTGCTCTCACAAGTTCTATATATGCTCTCACATGTTCAATATGTGCTCTCATGCAAAACTATCCCTAGCTCTCTTTACTTTGTTAAATTTTCAGGCAAAGAGCTCACTACATTGTTCAAGTTGGCCCTGAACTCACTTTGTAGCCAAATAGATCATGACCTCACAGTCCAACTGCCTTCTGACTGGCTAAGATTACAGATCTGATGTCTCAGGTCTGGCAAAATATCATTTTAATAGTTGGCATTGGTTGTCAAATTGACACACTGGGAAGAGGGGGTCGCAATTGGGGAATTTTCTCTATCGGATTGGCCTGTGGCCATGTCTGTGAGGCATTTTCTTGACTGGTGAGCGATGCCCAGCCCACTGTGGGTGCTGCCACCTCTGGGCAGGTGGTCCTAGCTTGTATAAGAAAGCAGACTGAGCACAGGCCAGAGGAGCAAGCCAGTAAGCAGCATTCCTCCACGGCTTGTGCTTCAGTTCCTGCCTCCAGGTTCCTGTCCTGAGTTCCTGCCCGACTTCCCTCAGAGATGGACATCACTTGGAAGTGTAAAATGCAGTGAACTCCTTCCTCCCCAAGCTGGTTTTGGTCAGTGTTTTATCACAGCAACAGAAAGTTAACCAGAACAGTGGCTAATGGCATTCCATCCCACTGTTGTGCCTTACCTGATCAACTATTTTCTAATACTGAGTATTTAGGTTTCTGAGTTTTACAGTTGTAAATTATCATAAAAATAACCTTATAGAGGAAGGTACTTCAAGTAGAATAGATTCCTAGAAGGAGAAAATGGGAAACTAGAAGTGTTTTAGATAAACAATGGCTACATGGATGGTCCATAGTGGAGCAAACTTGGTCACTGCCTCTCCTGGCTCCAGAGACAGAACACAACAGCTTTCATCTCTTGGAACCTTTTCTGTGATAATAAAGTGGTTGGAGAAATGACCTATGAGCTGGGCATGGTGGCACATGTCAGTAGACTCCACTACTAGGATGGCTGAAGCAGGAAGATCTTGAATTAAAGAACAGTGTCAGGAGCTATGACCACACAAGCCTGTCAACCTGAGTTCAATCCGCAGATGCCAAGATGGAAGGAGAGAACCAATTCCCGCAAGATGTCCTCTGACCACACATTCATGGTGACACGTAAGCCCCTGCACTCATATACAAACTAATGATAAATTAGATTAAACAATTTTTAAGTTTTTTTTTAAAGAACTGTATGGAGAACATTGTGAAGCCATCTTAAAAGGACAAAAGAAGGTGGGGGCAGGCAACCAACAACCACCACAACAGACACAAGTGCCATATTTACCTGCTGTCGGAATCCGAGGCGATCTCCTTTCTCCCTCCAAAACGGATCTGGCACTGCACAGAGAAAGAAACCGCTGAGGTCAGCTGCTGGGACGAGATGCTCACATCACAAAACAGCCCACAGGCATTCAGAATCATCAGAGACACAGGCCAGAAGCCTGAGAGCAAGTCCCCAGGCCCTGGTGTCCCACAGAGGTGAGAACAGGCTCCTCTCTAAGGAAGCCCCAGTCTCCCACTTGCAGGGAACTGGCAAACAGGGCAGACAGGAAAGCAGGCCCACAGCCATCTGCAATCACCCAAGAAGTCTCTCACATCTGTCAGCCGGTGAGCCTCAGTGAGCTCTGAACAGGCCATACTAGAAACTTCCACAAATCTGTGCTGATAGAGCCTTTTTGACTGAGCCCAAAGGTGTTATGACTGGATATAAAATGACAACGGCCTAAGTGAGCCTTCAGACCAGTCATTTCATTTGGCTTGTACTAAACAATTTAGCCAGGCTGGGGAAACATCAAAGCCAACTGCTCACTTTTTAAAAAACAGAATATAAAACTTGCCCTAACCATTTTCGGTTGTAAAATTCAATTCACAGCATTATCCAGTCTTCACGATATCTTCTACACCCCCCCCCACCTACCCTTTCTTTTCCTTTTCTTTTTTGAACTGCATTTGTGTCTTTTGCAACAGAGCTTCACTCTATAGCCCCAACTCCTTTGGAATTCACTATGGAGCCCATGCTACCCTTAAATTCACAGCTCCTCCTGCCTCCACCTTCCAAGGGTTAAGATTACAGGTATGTGCAACCACACCCAACTCACTACTCAATTTAAAGGAGCAGAGTCTCTGCTATGGATCGCAGATTTGCATGATACCTAAGTTTATGGTTAAAATATACATTTCCTCTTAAAACGATACTGTTGTCAGAACTCATGCAGCAGTACACACTACGTGATGGATTTTAATTATAAATAAGGTATACATCAGTAAAGTAGGGGTGTTTAAGATAACTAATAGTTCGACTCCCCAAAATCATAACAGCAGAAACCCATTTGTGGCTCTTCAACTGCTACTCAACTGGCTGCCTCCTCTTGTCACATCTTCCATTTTTTGGATTCACTATGGACCAGGTGCTGGCCAGGCTCTTTACCTACATTAACATGTACAATTTGCTCAGCGTCCTTTTGCAGGTGAGAAGCCAGGTTCCAAGGGAAAAGAGATGCTCAGGGAGGATGGATGAGGGTAGATGAGTTGACAGCAGGGACTCAGTCCCCACTGAATCCCAAGCCTAGGGCCTTTCACCAGGCTCTCTCAAGGGCTAGACAGATGCTGGATTCCCTGGGCCCACTTCAACATTTAACCCACTACATGCATAAAATAGTCAATAGTCCCTGCCAAAAGGGGGACTTTTAGAATTCTCAGGTTTGGATCCTAGCTCTGTCACTTACTATTACGTCTTAAATGAGTTATTGATCTCTGAGTTTCAGTGTCTTCATGTATAAGGTAAAAATAATTGCAGGAACTCCTTCAACAGGTGGTTGGAAGAATTCAATGTAAGCTACTTACAGAGAGCAAGGCACAAGGTGGATATGTGACGACAGCTAACATTTCTTGTGTCTGGTATGTGTGGGCAAACACGGGATTCTGGCCTCACCCTAGCTCCTTGTGTACAGGCAGAAGCCAGCATCAACAACCAACAGCAGCCCACCTGGAGGCCCACACAGCTGCTGGCAACAAGGATCCTGCGAAGACCTGAAGAGGCCTGTTGGTGTGCCTTCAGGGTCCTAATTCCAAGCCAGCCCCTCTGAAGAGCTACGCTAAAAACAACTGCTGGCAAACCAAACTCTGAAATGACAGTGGTCATTGCTGGGGGCAGGGGGTTGCCTCAGACCTGTGAAACTCCACACAGATGGGCTCCTCCAACCCCGCTCTTGCCACCTTCCCCGAAATGTGACTCCCTAGGGAAAACTGTTCACCCCGTGCAGACACAGCCAGACATGGTGGCACACACCTGTAATACCAGCACTTGAGAGGCTGAGGCAGGAAGATTACTACAAGTTCCAGGACAGCCTAGGTTATATAGTAAATTCAAGGCCAATTTAGGCTACATAGCATACCTGGTGTCAAAACAAACAAACCATTCCCCAGATATAGAATAAGCCTATGCTTACAAAAGGGAAGAAACGATTTCTGTGTTAACTGTTGGATGCTCACAACAAAGATCAGCCTGTACATTCCTCTTACCTGCTTCACTGCATCCAGCAGTCGCTCCAGGAGGAATTGCCTTTTGTCATTGTTCTGTGACCCTAAAATGCAACAGGATTTAATTACTTCTATTTGACAATTCGACTCCTATTAAGACTTTCTGACGTGATAGTATACAGCCATCCACAAACAAGATCATCCTCTGCTGATCTTTAACAGAATTAGTATCCAGACTAGACACCAACAATCTCCACCACTGTGGTGAAGTTTGACCATTTGCCTGTTAATGCATCACAGGAAAACAGCTAAACTACTTTCCCCAGGTTTAAAGAATGTGTCCAGAATGGTCCGAGTTTCTCGGCCCCGGCATTCCCTGCACTGCAGGAAGCTGAGCAGTGTCCCTGGCCTCTATCCATTCCTGAGTTGGATAGACATACTGGCAAATGTCTCCTGGAGGGCAAGGTTGCCCCTTTGACAACCAGGAGTATAACATAACATGTACATTGCCTAGAATAGGCACTGTGATTGTCTGACCATCCCAATGTCCTTTCCCCATGCTATCTTTGGCTACACAAGCTGGAAAACCTAATTACTCCTTTCCTGAGCAGCTAAGGCTGACCTTAAAGAGTTAGGCCAATGGGAACTGGGGATGTCACTAAGTGGGCAGAGTGCTTGCCTAGCACACACAAAGCCCTGGGTTCAATCCTCAGCACCACATTAACCAGAGATAGTTACACACACCTGTAATACCAGCAATTGGGAGGTGAAGGAAAAAGGATCAAGAATTCAAGGTGATCCTCAGCTACATAAGGAGCTTGAGGCCAGCCTCGGATACATGAGACTCTGCCTCAAAAAGAGTATGACCAATGAGAAGTAAGCACAAGAGTGCTGGGGGTGGGGGTTCTGGTAAAGATGTACCTTCTGATACAGAGAAATGATATGAAGGGCATTAGTCCTTCCTCTATCCTGCCTCACTCATACATATGTTGGTAGAGAGCCACAGCAACAGCTTACCCTCATAAAATCACATACCCAAAGGGAAAGCCACATGAATCAGGAAAACTTCCCCTGGAATCAGTGAGTGACTAAGCCAATACCACATATAATTCTCACCAGATAAAAAACTACATATGAGCCAGGCGTGGTGGTGCACACCTTTAATCCAAGCACTTGGCGGGGCAGAGACAGGCAGATCTCTGTGAGTTCAAAGCCAGTCTGGTCTACATAGTGAGTTCTAGGCCAGCTGGGGCCACAGGAAGACCCTGTCTCAAAAAGACTGAAGAAATAAAAATAAAAATAAAAATAAACTGCATGTCCAAACCACTGCAAGTTGGTTAGGCTATTACTTGCAGCCAAATAAATTCTGAAATGATACACAAGACACATGCAGAATTTCCATTAAGAAAGTCTTGGGCAAGGGAATTTCACTATGAAGATCACTGTCAGACCATGCTTATAACCACAAGACGCCCAGGGGCACCAATCAATGGAGTCAAGGCTATGGATCACAATGCTTTTGCCCAGAGTAGTCACTTCAAAGAACAGGTATGAAATTGGTCAGAAGCTACTTCTGACCTGGGCAACTCTACATGGGCTGCACCAGGGCAGAGTAAGTGTTAAAGACACAGGAATGAAATGGAGCTAAAATTCTATTCGGAATAAGCAAACTGTATGCATGTGGATATAAAACAAGGTGACAGAGAGAGTCATCCTAGGGAAAAAACCCAAGCATAGTGAGAGAGCAGAGAAGAAGGAAGACAGCCACTTCCAGGGCATCGTGGCATGCTGTCTGCATAGGCAACATGTAAGTTAAGCTCTTTATAAAGAGAAGGAACAATTTCAGAAAGACACGGAAGGGTCCATTCTGGGCAGAGGATGAGGCCTGAAGACAGGCCCAGCTTCTGTCCACAGGATTAAAAGGAAGTCTGCAATGGAGAAGAAAAGCAGAAGGCATCATGTGACAGGCAGTCAGGGGGGCCCACAGACCAGTGTTGGGGAACCCTGCTGTTAAGGTCGGCAGGGGTTTCCTGCCTGACTTACCTAGAAAGTGCTTCCAAACAGGGATGCCTGACCTTATTCAGAACATGACCTTTGGCATAGTTACCTGCAATAAAAACTGCCCCCAGGTTTTTTCTATATGATAATTAGGCATTGCCCTATAGCCAGATGATAGAATCCCACTACCACATGTAAATAAAGCATACTATGAGCACCTATCAGCCGAAGCTTTGGCTGCTGCCTCCACACTATATTTTCCCTGACCCCCACTAAATAAATGGAGCTGTATCACTGAATCTGCCTCCCTGGAAGGACTGTCGTCCGGCAGTGCTCACTGGCTGTCCTGACCCCGTTCATCGCTTCTGCTCCCTTTGTCCTCATGGGCCGGTGGCCAATGACCCATGAGGGGAGGGAGAGACCCCACAGACCAGGGCACAGCTTTTAAATTTTGCTTCAATCTGAGCACTAACTGGCGGAAATGTGATTTGATGCAAGACACTGCCCCTTTCAGGCCTGTGTGGGGGCCACCACACCAAGACCCCTGCCTTCTTTCAGATCTGGAGGTAAAGCCAAGAACTTTTCTGAAAGATGTTTTAATAAAGGAAAGCCTGCACCACATTCCAACTAAACAAGAGACCATCTTGAAGCACGATTCATGGCACGTACAGACCCCATTAGCCCAAGGCCACCAACACATTCCTTCACACCTGTGTCTGTCTATAATCCTGCTCTTTGCTGAGAAGAGTTTGTTTCTGTTCTTCCCTCCCTAATACCAAAAAGGGGAAGTCAGGTTTTCGTCCTTCCTTTTTCCAAGTACTGGACCCAACACTCCACATATATTTGGACAGCAACAACGAGAAATGATAATTTCACCCCTGGAAATGCTTTGACCATTTTTTTCTCATCATATAATAGAAATACAAGAGCACATCAGATGGATGCTAAAAGTTCTTGGAATGTGACAGTAATTAAGAACTTTGAGCCTCCATCGGTGTAGTGGCTATGATCTAAGCAGACCGCCAGAGAGTGCCAGGTTCTGGCCTCCCTCTGGCATAAGGGCTGAGAACACAGGGGACTGCCTGAGAGCTCCTGGATCCCGCCTCCACATGGTGGGGTACAAACCTTCGAAGGAAGCCTGTGTATACCTGACTGGAACCTGAATTGGGCTTCTATGGGTACTCCAGAAAAGCTAATCTGAAGCAATCAGTTCCCTCCAAAATAAAACCTGAGAGAATCTGAACCCTGTACCAACCAGCTTTACATAACCAATAAGGAAAGGACCTAGGCACCCCAATAATACAAACAGAAGCATAATTCAACTTAATTCTCATATCAGAATCATAAACAACAATAGAAA